TTTTTTTTTTTTTTAAACAAGACGCACGCTTCAGGCGCTCATGTTTTTAGTCTAAGATAAGATGGGATATAAAACAGAGGAACTTCAGCCCAAAAAGCCCATTAAAATGCATTTCAGGCTGCCAGAATTCCCAAATTTCTGTCAGGTTTTCTGAGGCAATGCCCTTGATGTCTTTATTTTGAACTATTGACATCTCTTTATAAAGTCTCTAACATCACTGGCAAACCTTAAGGCAGGCTGCAAGGGATCAAAGCTCACTGACACTTGAGATTAGCATTAAACTGAACCTGAACCTTTTTACACAAACACTAATGAGTGCACTTAGTCTGCATGTGAGAAACACAGAGACTGATTTTTCTGTTTTTTTATTCTCTCTTTTCATCTCTTAATAATATCAGGATGGATGATTCTCCCACCCTGCGTCTTTGGACATGGTGTTATACATGAACGTGTTTATGTTTGTGCTCCTCAGCAGGACGCATTTGTCTCACATCAGATAATTTTGTGAATGCAGAAAGGCTGTTTGGTCACAGCTTAATCCCCATTAAAAACACTGCAGGGAGACGGATAAACAGCAGAGGAGAGACCGGGGGGGGTGTTTGTCCTTTCAGAGAGTTCAGGGCATGACTCAGACATGAATGATGAAGTGTGAGTAATTGCAGTGGTGTATTCAGATATTTCACTTTAATGGGCTCTCTGTATATTTTTACATTTATTAAATGTCATTGTATTGCTGACATGTGAATGGATTGTAACTTAAAACAGGAAACCTCCCATGAGGTCTGTGGATAGATTTGTGCATGAAAATGTAGGCCGATCCATTAAGATCCAAAGGATGTGAAGCTTATAGCTTTAGAAATGGAGTCAAATACTGTGTTAATGTAAACAACCAACTCGCAAGATAAAGACAAACTAACACTGGTTCAGATAATATTTTACTACCGACAAGGTTGGTGAACAAATTTGCGACTGTTTGTCATCATCCTGAACAATAGGTGTCACCGCTCAGACCTCCACATCAGCGCTGGTGTAGCGGGAGAAAAAGTCAAAACTGGAATCTGCTCATTTTTTATTATATATAATATGACATATTTAAGTTTACTGTATTTGCTGTAAAAAAGTTTGCGTAAGAAATAATATAATTTGTAGTGTCAAGCAATTTTTTTTGACAGATTTCTAAACTTAACTAAATATATAAAAATAATTAAAAAAAATAATAATTAAAGTTGTCCTCTAAAATAAATTGACACAAATGCACTAATATGTATAATTCAATTTTAATTATTAATGTAACTGCAATGCATAGATAAAATATCAGCTAAATTTTCTCAGTTTTGATTGGTGTTATGCTGTGAAT